TATGTTAATGGATTATGAAAAGATAATTAATTTATATATAGATACTTGTTTATTTTAAGCATTGGAAAATAATTTTATGGATATTTATGACTAAATTAGTTAAGTGAATGTCATGTCATAATTAAATTTGTGCTATGTCATAATAAAATGTGTGAAAGTCATTCTAAAGACGACAAGCATTTTTAGAAAATCACTTCCCAAATAATATATAAGGGATGTTGAGTAAACAAATAAAAGGTGACAAAAAAAAAACAAGTTAGTTATAAGTTGTTTTCTTCTACCAAAAATGAGTAATTGCCTAATATGTACTGGAACAGTTGGTTAATGAATCAGTTGTCGAGCCACAAGAAGAAACAATAATGAGTACATAATCAGCAATGCAAGTGGAATAGAGTAAAGAAATCAAACAAAATAATCTGAAGCAAAGACCAATTTTACTGCTTAAGAGGTATAGAATCTCATTTACTTCTTCTTCTTCTCATTGTTCTACACTATTATTAACCACATTTTTGATCAAGGTATTGCAACCATTTCTCTCTTGCTAGTTGTTTTCAGAATGGGTTTATCGCTGAGAATGTGGTTTGCGAGTATACTTGTAAAATTTGTTTCTAAAGCTTAATTAGCTCTAAAGTTGTCTAAATAATAACCTTTGTGATTATAGATCTGAGAGTTTTAATACTTGAGAGGGTTTTGGTCAGATACTTGAACATCAATTTAATGCTCTATTGTTAAGATTGAAAGAACAAAAGGAGGATCATTTTTTGTTAACTGTTTCATTGAATCTATACACTCTCTTCTTGAGATTGGACTCTTTGATCTCTGATAATGCCATTTTTCTTTTCAATCTTCAGGACTATTTTAAGGAAGAAACTGTAATTGCAGTGAAGAAACTTTTGCCTGAATATGCAGATGGTGAACTAGCAAGAGTTTGTTCATGGCCTGATGAAATCAAACGGCTTTCACAATGGCGATGGACTAGCGCTTTGCATTTTGCGGACACACCTGATTATAAATGCAACTATGAGTATTCTCGTGAGTTTTATTCTTACCTTTTCCTTCAGTATCATTCATGTTTTCTGCTTTGGCATTGGCATAATTATTTCTGTGAAGGGGACTGCCCTAAAGACTGGTGTGTGACAGGAGCTATCTTCAATTACACAAACCAATTAATGTCAGCTCCTGAAAACTCGCAGAGTATAATCCACTGAGAGTTAAGATTCTTAGTGGTTATGTTTCAGTTTACTAATTTGTGTCTGAGTTACAAGGAACATAGTGTGACTAGTGTTTTGTTTGTAATTTATAGATAATCATACAGAGGCTCTAATGTTCTTATCACATTATATGGGAGATATTCATCAGGTTAATCTCTTTTGTAAATTCCGAGTTATTTACATTGCTACGGTTAGTGTATAGTGTATATAACACAATTACACAGAACATGGCTAATTCATGTTTTGGATTTTGATTTTTGTTACATAGCCCTTGCATGAAGGTTTTCTTGGAGATCTAGGTGGTAACAGAGGATAAACTTAACTCACATTGATTGTTTTTGCTTTGAATGTTGTATTAATATAGTATGGTTGGTCAAATGATGTTCGGTCGTGGGGTTCATGTCAACTTAACCAAACAGCCTGCCCAAATCCGTAAGAAAATCTAAATTGCGCATATAATTTGTCCTTTGCAACAATGTTAAATTGAAAATTTCGCGGTGAAAGATCCGTAAAGTTGCAGATTATATTACATTGTTGATTATGTATGTTCTTGATTTGTTCAGGTATGCTTCCGAAAGCATAGATCTTGCTTGCTACAAGAACGCTACCGCAGGGACTACTTTAGGAGGTATATAATTAATTCTCTAAGCATTGAAAAAATTAGTATCCATTATGAACCAAGATCTTCTCTACCTCTTAATCTCTTATTTTGTGATTTTTTTTTCTTTTTGGAGAAGGCTGATTTTGTGATCTTGTCATGAAAAGCCCTTACTCGTGATGAAGGTATTTATAGGAACATGTAGTAGAAGGGAAATATGTGGATTATTTAATATGAAATTCTTAAAGTTTTTTCATGCATGGTTTGAAACTTTTTAGTGCATGCAAGCAAGAAAAAAAAGTGGAATTTTGACTTGAAGAATATTATTTACTTTAAAAGATTGGCTGACCTTATATTTTAAGAAATTTTTAAAAATACTACTTTTCAAATGTCATTTTTCAAAAATACCACTTTTTTAAAGAAAAAAATCAGTATATCATTTATGTATGAGTTAACTATGTTGTATTAGAGTTTAGTTTTGAGGGGTTAAATGATTTTAGGGGTCAAAACATTTTTTTAAAGTTTATAATTTTAAGATTTAGATTTTATAAATTCATAATTAGTGGTATTCTTACAAATGTATAAAAGTGGCATTTTTCCATTGCCCCATCAAATTCGAATTCCAATTTTTATGTGAATAATTATAATATTCGTACTAACACTACTGATCTAAAGGCATCGTAAATAGTCAGTGACATTAAAATCCACGTGTCGTATTTTCTTACGATTGGAATCATAGTTCTTGTGGTTGATCGACAAAACTTAAGTTATCGAGCGTCGTAAAAACAATAGAAAGATTCTTTCTAAAATATATACTTTTTTTTTTTTGTTGGTAAACATAACTTTTGTAGAAATATATTTTCTCTTGTTCTGTATAAAGAATTGCCACTAATTTCAAATTTTGCGGATAAAATGGAATATAAAAGATTTTTTTCTGAGATTGTCCTTTGAGTTGAGAATATAATGTTTGGAGACTCATTACATTGTGAAAGGAGCAGTAATAAATACATATTATCCAAAGCTGTTAACTTCTTTTTACCTCCTACAATTTCGATTTGTGTTATACGTACCGATCGATAAGTTGGGACAAACCGGTATGCATGCCATGCGATATCCATAAATTCACAATCAAATGAATCACTAGGCAGAAAAAAAAGAAAGATAAAATAATCCAAATTAGATGTATATACACACATTTTTCTTAATTATCTAGGAAATGAATGGGTTTTTAATTTTTAGTTATAATTCCTGGAAATGGTAGAATGATATTTTTAGTTATATATATATTGTTCTAGTGTGTGAAATTTACTCAAACAGCTCATTTAATGTTTTTTTTTTTTTTGATAAAGAAGCTCATTTAATGTTAACTACTAAAATTATCTCCAATCATCACACTAAATTTGGTGTGATTTTAACACCAAATTTGGTGTTTTGGTGTAAAAAAAATTATCCATCTCCAATCATAACACCAAATTTCATACTAAAAAAATTTTTCTCTATTATTATATTATTAATTTTAAGTTTTTCTTTATTTTTAATATAAATACAAATTATACTAATTATATTATTTGAAAAAAATAGACTAATTATTCTGATATAAGCTAAACATAATATTCAATCGATAAAAGAAAAAGCGAAAAATAAATTACAACGAA